AGTTTCAACCTAGGTGCGAATCTAGGTGAACGGGCTGGCTGTATAGGCCTTTTCGTTGTTTTCCCCATGTTTAACGTGCACGCGAACCAGTTTCCATTAGAAAGTCCTCCACGAAGGCACCCCTTCTCATAGGCAGATAGCCCTAGTATGCTTTGTCACAATAAATTAAACCAAACCAAACTTTTCTTAAACTAAAAATCGGCCTTCTGTGACCACCATTTAAGTGACATTTAGTCGTCCAATGGTTTCGATATACCTTGTTATACTTTGCAATATTTCGCCAGAATATGAAGGTTTTAATAGATTTTTACAGCCTAATATTAAAATGTCTGAATTTCTATATTTCTTATCGCAGTCTTGTTAAGGATATAAAAAATATCCCTTAGGCTAAAACGCAGACCAAGAAGAAATAGGAAGTCTGAAAATCATGTACTCTAATGAGAACCACTTACGTTACAAGTGATTCCCCTAGAGCACATTTTCCTTGTCGTAGTTTGTGGCTGGTAATGTGAGTGCTTTGCATTTTAAGACGATACACTTGAGAAACATTTATGGCTTTTGCATCCATTGCATAGCTCCTCGCAAACCTTTGCACTGAGTACAGTTTTTTACTAGCTAAGCGTCTTAAATTATCAGTTTATAGTTTTTTTTCCAAGGCATATGCTTCGGAACTTAAAAACAAATACCTTATCTTATCTTGGAAAACTCACTGCATGGAAAATTCCCATTTCCTGTTTTAGCATTAGGTTATCTGAAGCAACATTATTTCAAGTGCTGTAAACTTCGCTTTTTTAAATGTATTAATAGGATTTTAGATTTTGAATAGTGAAATACGGAGTTGAATGAAATTTACTTGCGACTAAATGTAAAGTAACTTGAGCCCTGAGAAAATGTTTCGCATTTATGTTCCTTCAAATTTCTCCACGCTGTTTTATTATGCTAATGCTTCTTATTTGATGATCTTTTTCATTTCGAACAGAACAAAATTTGCTTCTAATTAAAATGATGTTTTACATGCTGTTATGATCGCCACATATTATTTGCTTTGCCACGTATTTATTATGATTGCCATGCATGATTCAGTAATTTAACTACTAAATCACTAAATTTCTAATGATTGCCATGCTATGATTCAGTAATATAACTACTCAAGTATTAAACTACTACTAATAAATCTAACTACTAAAATGCTAAATTTCTCATAAAATAAGAAATGTAGTATTTGCTTTTCACTAAACATTTTAGACAGTCAGTTTTATTTAGTCCAGTTAACAACAGCAACAACAAAAGGAAATTTCAGATTTATATTGCACCCAAAGGGTCGTTTTTTCATTTACACACACATACACGCTTCTAGAGCATTTGGGCTGATGTCTCTTTGGGCTAAAAATATTTTAGAGCAGCATATCTTTAGAATTTCGGATAGACAGTCTCGCGCGCTGGAGATAAAAATGTTTTTTTTTTTAATCTTACCGTGTTGCCATTGCTTTCTTTGAAATAGTTGAGTTTGTTAATAAAAAATTCGTCAAAACTCCACAAAATATGAAATAGGCAATGAAACAAATTCCGGCTGCCAGGTGCCCATATTCGGGTGGAACACTACGTTATTCAAAATTGGATGGCTCTAGGTACCGGTGTTTTTTTCGCAATGCCAGAAACATGCAAACATTCATGCAGATTTTTCATTATTTAATTTCTTCAAATATAATACAGGGCGATAATATCTTATGACAAGAATTTGTAAAACGGACATTTATAGTGCAAAATTCCATTTCGAGATTAATAGCCCTTCTGGGCTAACGCGTCTTTGGCCTAAAAACATTTCTGTCTCAAGAAAGGCCTTAAATAGGCAAAAAATAAAGCGTTTCAGCATATTAAAACCCCCAATCGTTTATTTATCGTTTTTCAAAAATAAATTTTATGTTTACATTCCACAAAATATTATATTTAGATTTTTGTGAAAACCTGTCTGAATTCCAAATTGCCAGAACAATCATTTCAAGCTATAAAGCTTCAAGCTTTCTCAAGTCTGATTGTTATGTGCAACTTATTTCAAGCTGTCTTTATTAAAATATTTTGATTAACATGTCATTCTTACATGTTATTCTTACACCTTTCCTACTGATACTATTACAGAAATATCCTTCCTGCACCAAAAATTTAAATGAAATATGTTTAAATAACCACGGAAAACTGATAGTATCAGCCTGCCGTGTTGAAATTCTCGACTATGGTATGCCTTTAACGCTTTTTCATGATTTGGTGAGCTTGCGTTTCATTGAAATTACGCTAGTAGACGATGAGTAGCGGAGACAGGTTTTTAGGCTTTAAATACACAAATTTCAGTTACAATAAATTTAAATCAATATTATTTTTCCAGTACGCAAAAAGCAGATGTAAATGTTGTTAACGCTTTAGTTTCCTATAATTTGAAGATGCAGTGAAACTACACGGTTTAATTTTATGGACACTGTTCTTTATTAATTTAGCCATCTAGGGATAAAGCCGTTATGTCTAAAAAGAAAAATTTAGTGTTTAAATTAAGTCAAGCTAAGTTTAGCCTTATAACTTATCAATGTCTGGATAAGTCAGTTCGCGTGTGTCTAGATAAATCCGATATTAAAAAACATGCGCAAGCAGATAGGAAATTCTGAGTTCAAACCTTTGCTAGGTATACTCTATCTCTGCGCTTTCATATTAACGATACAAGTACAGCACACTACTGTACTGCATGAAGATACTAAGAGGGCGTAGGGCGTAATTGTAGGAACAGATAAGTATGTAGGGTACTTAAGCTCCTTTATTTGTAATCTAAATAAATAAATATTGGTATTTTTTAATTATAAATAATATTATTATTATTGATAATAATAATAATTCACGATCCTGTTGTGTCTGAAATGGATCTCGTGGCAAGACTCGCCTGCGCAACTGCTACAAAGAAACTCCCGGTGTGTCTGAAACATATACGGCAACAAATGGTCCGTCGGTGTCAGGCATGTTTGGCGCCTGATGGTGCAAACTTCGAACATCTGTTGTAACATTCAAGCTGTCGAACACCATTTGTATTCATGTCCAATAAATGTTTCAAATGACTAACTCTAGTTTCTTTTTCCATCTTCTACCTCTGCTACCATTTAACCCTGACATTTCTAGGTATAAGTTCCCATGCAATTCTTAATCCTTATGATGCGCCTTACATCCCCTAAAAGTTTGCCGCAACATTTTCGGTACACCCTGTATATAGTATATACACTCATGTCCATAAATTAAGGATAATGCAAAATCAAGCAAAGGAAGAGTTAGATGCAAAACAAATTTGACTTATTTGTAAAGCTTATTTATTAAACAAAAGGTAAAGAGCAGAAAAAGATGCTATATGTTTGATATTATTAAAAAAAATTAGCGATTTTTTTTCTCCCTGGAGCAAATTACAAAAAAAAAAAAAAAAAAAAAAAAAAAAGCTATTTACAAAAAACCAACATTACATGGTTGGTATGATTGTTAATACATTGCATGTCTCCCAGACGATGCAATACAGTCCGTACAACGCCTAGGCATGCTGAGTATCAATGAGTATCAAATTATCGATCTGATCTTGGGGGATATTACACCATTCAAAAAGCAATGCTCCCCGAAGTTCCGGTAGACATGTAGGAGGAGGTTGACGGGCTGCAACTCGTCGGCAAAGCATGTCCCACAGGTGCTGTGCTGGATAAAAGTTCGGTGAGAATGCTGGCCAGTCCATACGGGTGATATCCTCCGATTGAAGGCATTCGCTTACGATGTTTGCACGGTGAGGACGGGCGTTGTCATCCATAAAACAAATTTTGTGCGCCCATGGCGCCCCGAAAACAACGTACATGTTGTTCCAGAATGACGTCCCGATAGATTTGGCTTGTCATGGTTCCAATTTGAACATGCAGGTCAGTTCTGGAACCCAGAATAATTCCACCCCAAACGAGCACTCCTGCACCACCGTAACGGTGTCGTTCAATGATGTTTTCTTGGTGGTAACGGGTACCTGGAGCTCTCCATATGAAAGTCCGGCGAGAATCAGACTGCAAGCTAAACCTGGACTCGGAGGAAAACATCACACAAGCCCACTGTTGCGGTGTCCACAATGCATGCTCTCTACTCCAGGCTAACCGCAGGCGACAGTGAGTTGCAGTAAGTGGAACGCATCTGACAGGTCTACGAGCATATAGACCAATCTGCCCTAAGCGTCTGTACACGGTCTGGCCTGAAATTGTCATGTCAGTGGCTGAAGAGAGCTGACGAGGACAGGTCTGAGGCTGTGCTCCGCCTGTTTCTTTTGGCAGTAACTGCCAAATACCGGTCCTCATTCGGCGTTGTAACTCTGGGGCGACCTGTGCTGTAACGTCTACTCACATTACCATCATCTTGGAATCGTTGCCAAAGCCTGGAGATGACACTCTGGGCAATTCCAAGTTCGTCTGATACTTCCAGTTGGGTACGCCCACATTCCAGACGGCCGATAATTCTACCACGTAAAAAATCATCCAAATGCGTCCTTGTGTCATAACTATTCAGTTATTGCACTGAAATGCTTATAAAGCGCCTGCGAACAATTTTACTTCTTTGCCTGTATTCCTTATATATCACTCTCTTACACTCTCGTCATTGTGACGTACCATCGGTGTCATCTGGTTACTTCCTGAAATTTGCATATGATTCTTGAAGATGTGTGTAGTGATTTTACAGGTGATATATTTATTTTAGAGTTCGATTTCCGCGTGACTCCGAATTATGCTTAATTTATGGACATGCGTGTATATATGTATACGTTCTTACAGACATCACGAAAAATATTCCAGGCCATACATTTATATATATAGCCTTTCCAGTCTAGCTAATGGATGAACGTTAATCATTTCAGTTTTTGAGAATCCAGTGTTAAACTTTATGAGGTCGCATATTTAAACTCTAATCTAGCCATTTGATAAGTGTTAATTATACTGTTTTTTGTTTCAACTTACCAGTCGTCTGTGCTAAAACTTCATTTGAGGTGTACCCACTTTCTCCATACACATTCCACGCCATAAGAGCAAATGAATACTCTGTTCCAGGATCCAGTCCAGTAACCATGAATACCGACGCGTTAGTAGGCATGACATCCACAATAGTTTCTTCATCAGACCCTTTGACTGTATAACGGACTCGAAAGAATTGAGGAGAGCCTCCGTCAAAGCCAGGAGTCCAGTTCAGGAGGACGCGATCTGATGTTACATTTTGAGCCTGGAAGTCTTCTGGGGTATCCGGCTTACCTGGAATGAAAAACATTTAATTAGCTTTGATTAGAATGAAAAACTAAATCGCTTTATTTAAATCAGCTAGCTTCAAGAGAGTGAAGCTTAGCTTGAAAAGTAAGGTTACAGAGGTAAGTCCATCTGACGATAGTTTTCGAGACAAATTTTCGTTTCCAAATTTGGCGGGAAATAGCCAAATGTCGCCTAACTTGGTGACTGTTAGGTAATCCAATCCTTGTATAAGTGGAATTGGTCTGACCCTTGTATGCAACTGTATATGCTTTCCAACAACTTCGAGGAATCGAATGTACTAAAAATTTCTCAGCGGCTGGAAAATACTACAAGACAGCAACTATATAACAATAGCTGTTCTCAGTTGTTGGTCCAGAGCTGAGTTTGTAGCATTGAGAGATCTCTATGTGAGCTTTGTTCTTCACATGCGCTTTATATTGCGTTGTATTTAATATTCTGAGTGGTTTGAAATGTTAATTACTGATAGTGCTTTGCCACACTGAGAATAGCTGTTCAAGTGCTGCTTTGAAAAGTTCCGGAACTGTAAAATATTCCTTTTGGGAAAATAAATTTGATCAAAATTTAATTCTATCAAGCTACCATCGGTTCTACATGCATTCAGTCCGTTACGAACCCGTATACTAATTATCTGATAATCATCAGAAAAATCATCTAATAATTTGAGCCCAGAAACGGATAGAATTGTGAAAAATAGCTATGAATAATATATTCCTAAAAAGGTAGACAGAAGGAAGACTCGAAAACATAAATATTTTTAACTGCTGACCGATTGCTATACGGCGATCGCCCGAAATATTTCGGAGGCTCAAACGACTTCATAGGCCACTCTAATGCCCATTGGACGGCGATGCGCTCATTTTGAGAAACAGTGCTTTAAAAGATTTTAGAACTACAGAGAAAAAGAAAATCATAAGAATAGTGAATTAAGTCAGATTTTGCACCAACTTCTGTGTCTTTTTGCCGAGAAAGACCAAAAGTAAACTTTCACTTTTGTGCACCAAAAAAACTGTCTTCCTGCACGCTGACCTAATTGCTTGTTTTCCGTAATCGAGAATTTTTTTTAATTGCTTTTAACTATATTTAGTGTTTCAGGTTTGTCTGTATTTTAAAATTTTTAATGAAGATGTTTTGAGTTTTTATGTGCTTTTGCTTTGCCGTGAAGTGAGAACTGAAATAATTGAATAAGAAGTATATCTAATGAAATTCGAGAAAATTAGTTTAAATGAAATGTAGCAAAAAAATGTGTATAATTTAAAAGGCCATACAAGGAAGTCATACTGTATTTACATCAGATTTTTTTAATAAATATGTTCATATTTTCGAAAGTTAAAATCCGAGGGGCTTTTTGAAGAGTTTGTAGCAGTATGTGCATTACGTAAAGTAATAGCGATTGTCATCCGACCAGACACCCAATGCGACTTTACAAAAAATAAAAGGGAGAATAATATTTATTCCTTCGTAACTTCTCAGACAGAATTTTGAACAATATGTTTAGCGTTAAAATTAGGTATGAAGTTTCTTGACAAAAGAATACGGTATTAATATAGAATTCAGACAACAAAAATCAGCGTTATGTTTGCAAATTTTCACAGGACTACTTGCCATGGAAAATCCAGTTCACCAAGGGAAGATGTTTTATGAATAAATTTGGCTGCAGAAAAATTGAAAGTGTGATTTTCGGACCAACAATGATGGGTAACAGATGACTTCTGTGTTTCCTTTTTCTAACATATGCCTCATGTTCCTTAATGCGAAATTTTAAGGCTCTCTTTGTTTGGCCAATATAAATTAAACCACACTGGCAAGGAATCCTCTAAATGCCCAGGAATTCGCATCCAGAATGGGGTCTTTGAGTATGGAACTCGAATTTTATTGATAGGAGAATAAACGACCCGAAAGTTAAATTTCTGCAAAATACGTGCAATTTTATAACTCATTGATGGAAAGAAAGGAATGACAACATAATTCTTATAATCTCTATCTTTATAATCTAATAATCTTATAATCTGAATTTAATATAATTTATAAAACTTTACTAGAACAAAAACATCTGTTCCGTGATAACAAATTGTATGCCTTATTAATAATTATTATCCCTTCCATAATAACAAATGCTATGACGAGCAAAGAGAAAATAAGCACTATTTTTTAGCTACAGTTTTTCGTAGCGAGTACATACAAAACATTAAAAACTTAACAACGGTTAAAAATTAGAAACTAATTAAAAGATGGGAACGTAATAACCCCATTTGGATTCTTGATTCTTTTTCGAAAAAAATTTTTTTGCTGAATAAAATGGTAATAATACTCCAGAGTTTCTGCTTTTATATCTAGGCAATTTGGTTTCTAATTAATTGCTAATTAACGAAGCTTGACATTGAAAGTATAATGCCCTGCTATAAAATTCAGCTCTCAGTACCTAATTTGCGGATTAATGATTCATTTCGAACTTTTTGTTGATATTCAGCGACCAGTTTAAAAGACCATATCTATTAATTTATGTTTCATCAATTCATTGAAACGTAAAAATAAAACACACGCGGATCTATAGATATACTCTGTATAGGTACTTAGTTGGCTATGCGAGAGAAAATATTTTTTTTCATTTTATTTTATTTATTTCAGATTATTTATTTACTTAAACGTCATATGTTTACATGTGCTCGCTTTAATATTCATTACCTTAGAAGAGGAAGATGGGTAAAGTTGGAGACATTTAGTAAGTAAAATAGTTTAATTTCAGATTACTGCTGTTCGAAATAATACAGCATTCTTAATACATATATCACCTTTTTCTTTAGTTTGCAAAGCATTTCTAAATTTTATAATATCCGTTCAATTGCGCATAAATTAATTATCAGTCTTATTATGCCCCGTTTCATTGGCGTTAAATAGTTATTTCTTTTAGACACTGTGCGTTGAATTTCCTTAATATTTCGTTTTAAACACATTTTTCCTGAATACACCATTAGATTATTACTAACGGTAAATACTAGAAACTTAATTTTGGTTTAAATGCAATTAGATTTTTTGTGCTCGAAATAAATAATTCTGATACTGACTAGGGAAGTGCTGAGGTTAGACCCAAAAGAAATGTATTACGCAAAACAGGAAGACTGTGGATTCGTACATGTTTTCTGAAGTTAGATTAGATGCTGATTTGAAAGAGGGCTTGTATTCCTCATTTTCCTTCTTCCCCCCCCCCAAAGAGGCGTTAGATCCAAAGGGCTATTAGTCTCAAAACGGCATTTTGTGCCGTTTCACTTTCTGCGTTGTTTCACCTTTCAAACTGTTGCCAGCAAATATTATCGACATGTATTACATTTAAAGAAATTAAATTATAAATATCTGCATGAATGTGTGTATGTTTATAGAATTGTTAAAAGACAATGGTATCTAGAGCCATCGAAATTTTAATAACGTAGTTCTCCACCCGAATATGGCATCTGGAAGCACGAATTTTGAATTTCGAATTTGTTTTATGATCCATTTCACATTTTGTAAAACTTTAACACATTCAATCATTTAAAAGCGAGCAATGGCAACACTGTACGAAAAAAAAAACATTTTTATCTCCAGTGCACGAAAAATATAAAATCTGGGTAAATCTGGTAAAAATGGGTAATATAAAATCTGGAAAGTTTCAGACTTTTTTCTTATTTAATTTTTTTAAAGTATTCATTCAATTGCTTATCAATACATGACAGGTAATTTATTTGTGCCGCCCCCTCCAAAAAAAATCTACATAAGTTAAGTTTTTTCAAAATTTTGTGTTAAAACCAGTTTTCCTTCGAAAGTCCTCGACCGAGTCATCTTTCCTAATCGCCAAATAGTGCTATTATACTGTATCATTATCTAATCATCCAAACCAGCCTATATTCCAAATGTTAATCAAGTTTTACGCCTCTTAGTAACATCATGACCAATGAGGTTACTGCGTTTATTAAATTATATATATCTAAATTTAAGTAAACAAGCACGCATTTAGAAAGCTAAGCTAGTATAAATGTTAGAAGGGAAAGAAACAAGGTACAAAGTTTGAAGATAATTTTGGAATTATAATGAAGAGAATACAATTTCTTATAGTAATTTTGGGGATTTTGGTTGTTTTGGGGATAAATACCTTGCCGTTTGTAAAGTTTACAATTTTTATTAGAATCCTCGAATAGGTATTTTTTCTCTCCTTCCAGCATGCCTTTGTGGTGTAATTGTAGCGCACTCGGTGCGTATTTGAGAGGTCTAGGCTCGAGTCCCGGGGAAGACATTGCCCATTTTTCATGTCTCCTGCTTCAAAATAACCTAATAGTATTATTATGGCAATAACATTTCATAGCAATAATCTTTGAAAATTTTATGCAAAAATGTATTTATGCATTTATGTACAAATTTAAAATGCCTGCGATAGAAACTCAGCATCTGGATATTTTGCATTGGGAGGGTCTACATAAGTATATTTGCTTGAACCAGTTAATGTATTTTAATAGTGATTGATACATGCAATTATTTATAATATCTGTAAGAGAATTCCGTGCCTGTACATTTGTATTCGTGATACCCGCATTAACATATTTCAGACTAATTATGCATTTTTAAAAGAGTATGTGTATTACATGTGTTCCTATGTACAAATTTATAGTGTGTGTGGCATAAATTCGGTAACATGAAGAATTTCTCAATGATTAATTGATTTTCGTACAGTAATAAGGCTTCATAGTCAGCACACTGCTCCATTCCTACTCCAAAATGTTACTCTCCTTACTTCCCTTGTAAACGTAGATTTTGGGGAACAGGATTTAAGGCCATAAGAAACAACTGTCGTCATCGACAGGACATAAATAGGCCGACAAGCACCTTTCCTAAGAGGACTACAGGCATGGAAAACAAAAGAAAATGTGTGCTACTTTTAACACCATAGGACACTATTAGTTTGAAACCTCACACTTTGTCCGCGTCACTTTTGTGTTCATATCAAATTTGTATCCATA